TGTGCATTCATCTACGCATTTCTTAAACTCTCTTATTTCTGACATTGTAACTGGACTCCCAATCCTTTCCCCTCTATTCAAAACACAGTTAAAATCTCCCATAACTGCCCAAGGCTAAGACATATGTTTATGAATCTCCTTGATATCCTCCCATAATTTCCTTCTTAATGCAGCATCATTAAATCCATACATCATTGTAACTGATAGTTTCCTTTTTGTACCTCTGTGTTGTACTCCACAGTGTAGTAATTGTTCCTTGACTTTGTATATATTTATATCAAATACCAAAGGCTTACAGAAAAGCCAAATTCTTCCACCTTTATGTTAACTAAGATTAGTATTGTAGGACTATCCATAGCAAAGGTTAAGAGCTGTTCTCTGAGCTTTTGCTCTCTTAACCTTAGTTTCCAAGAGACCAAAATAATCCAGCCTGAGAATTATGCATAAATAGATGAACTTCCTTCTGTTTATCTGGATTCTTTAATCCCCCGGTATTCCAAAATCCAATCTTACCCATGTGTTGGTGGGCTCCCCCCACCCTTGTCATATTAAACCACATGTTTGCCTACATTATCGGTCTCCATTATTCCCATCTGCTGCCCTTCCTGGCTGGTACTTACCCCTTCTTCACTTTGTTGTTGTCCTAAAGTAGCAAATGCATTGCCTATCTTCAGGAATACTTATTGCACCATCACTGCTTTTTTCACATATTTCCCAACTTTATAACCATGGTTATGAGCTTGATTTCTGTTCATCTCTAGCTATTTATTTTCCACCTTTTTTTCCTTTTGTTGCAGTTCTGCTCCCTCTGTTTTGCTGGCTCTTTTTGTTCTCTTTTCCTTTCTCTCTGTTGATCCACCTCCATTTGTGCATTCATCTCTTATTGCTTCTCAGTCTTCTCTCTTTCCTCCTGTATATATTTCTATATTGAAAGATTTCATGTCCATAATTCTTGCATTTCTCACAAAGAACAGATTTTCACTAATAATGAACTGCCTGCTCAATTATTTTGCCAACCTCATTTTCAAACCTAATACTTGTCGGGTACTGTTGGTTTAATTTCACTTCTACTAAGACTCTTGCATATGTTAGCCTTTCCTTTTTTGTAGTAGCAGCATCTGCTTTAAGAGATTTTCTAATTAGACCATCTATTTTTATAAGAGCCACTTGGCCATAATACTCGATGTCTAACTCTGTCAACCTCACCCAAATAGGAATTTTCTCCATTTGCTCCTTTGTGATCTCCATATCTGGTTTTCATGGCTTCACAATTACAGGCTTTCTATCGAACATTTGGACTCCTTCTTCCACTACTTTGCTTCTGCTTTCTACACTGTGGAATCGTACCAGAAACACCCCTCTGCTTAATTGCGTTACTTTATCAATCCTCAATGCCCCCCAAATTCTCCTAAAATATCCATCTATTATTGCATCTGGTGGATTAGACCCTAGAATATAGCATACAACTGTTGTTGTCCAATAGTCAACCTCATCCTTAATATCCGCCATTGTAATTTTCACATTCAATTCAGTATTTTCCTCAATTAGATCTAGTCCTTCCTCTATTAGAATTGAACCCACAATATTACTCCATGACTTAGTACTTGAATCTAGGGTTTTAGTCGAACCTACAGTTTTGTTCGCCATTTCTTCCTCTTCCACACGATCTGCCCATGACGCCCTGTTCGCCATTTGAATTCATCCATTCCTCTTATTCCCTCTCTGTGGTGTTGCTGGATTGGAGAGCTGATTGATATCCAAAGGTATAATCCCTTGGATCGTATTGATGTTTTTTCACTTTCTTTGCATCTCCCGATTGTGGTACTCTCATTCGCACTGAATTCATTATCTGAATGTCTTGGATCTTCTAACCTCCTCCTCCTGTCTTCGATTTTTTCACCATTTCAGCTACCGGTGAGAGAGAATCGCATCCTAAAGAGAGAAAGTCACACAAACATCCCCTTTCCACTACTCTGATTATTGTGTAAGGATTTATTTTGCATTTGAATGCTCAAATTCTTCGTATAAAATTTGGAAGGAAAGTCATTTTTTTTTTAATATTTTGCTAATTTGCCTGGGTTTCCTATATATAGTCTTTTATTTTGTAGGTATTAAAAATTCAAAACTTACTAGTTAGATCAATTAGAATCCTCGTCGAAAAGTCTTATTAAGGGGTAAAATGCTTCCTTATAAGAAGTTTATTTTTGTTCTCGGGACTCAATTAAGAGACATCTAATTAAAGGTGAAGAGATTTTAACCATCACATTACACCTCTCGGTGATTCATGTTGCCTATCATAATAAGCTTGAAGCATGATATTTTAATAGATCTCTGGTGAAAATCACGACACAAGTAGAATACTTAGGTTGTCGTTAGAGTAAACCAAATCAAGTCTCGTCTAATTGAAAGAAAGTAAGGGCTTCCATATTGTGATTAATCTGGATTTTTTTTCAATCGGAACCAATGGGGGAATCTTAGTAATCCAATTGGCTGCTGGTTATTTAAATTTTTACTTTGTTCGTAAAGGTTTATTCTCTACCTTGTAACCCCTTCCCCGTCTCCCCTTTCTCTATGTATAATGAAAGAAATTTTTTTAAAAAAAACAAATATTAGAACNGGGGGAAAAAATGCCAAATACAGATCTCTAAAGGTCCTATTCCCACCGAAAGAAGATCAGTTTAATACTACTGAATTTTTATCAAGTATCTAACGTATTCCCTTTACAGAACCCCTTTTTCCAATTTTATATATATAATCCAATTTGCATATGTTCAAATAACCCAAATATCTAAATGAGATGTGATCTTATATATTAATCATAGACCTTGTTGACCTGTATGTAATATCAAATCGAGCATATATTTTCTGATATTTTGTCCATATAAGATATTAACTAAGTAGTGGAATTACTGGTACATATCATTACTGGTAATATAATTATGATCAAAAGTAATCCTAGGATATTAGAAAGCATAATATTCCCTATAAATCAAGATCCATAGAACTCCCATATTAGATGCAAAGGGATTAGTATTTAATTACTTCTCTGTTTCTTTTGTTTAAAGTACATAAGAAGGGGATTAGAAAGGCCATATTGTTAGGAGCAACTTAGTTAATCAGATGCTTAATAATGCCTCTAATGATGAATTAATTTATTTTTAATTTGGAGTAAAGGAATATTAACTAACGTTTGAATCTTAAGAGGAATCTGGTGAATCATACGATGTATCCTTTTTGCTCTTTTCTTTTTCATAATTTCTTCGAGAAAGTAATGTTAGGTAAAATACTGATTTTAATAGTAATTATCACCATCTCCACACGATTATTCTTACTTTTACCACATAAATAATGGAGTTAGGCTTCCTAATCATCAACAAGTGTGATAAGAATAGTATGTTTATAGTTGCTAGCTAGTCAGTATTACTGTATTTTGGTCAAATTAAATTAAAACAAGATTCATGGCATATTTGTACCTAGAGGATGCATGTGGTTGTGGTACGTAATTCCAGTTTCCAAAAGCAAATCACATCTGTGTCATTGTTGTTTCTTCATTCTAATTGGTTCTCTATTTAATTTGTGTAGTGCTGATCGTAATAAATATTAATATTTACGTAAAAGACATTTAAATGTGTAAAAATTCAACAGAGATGACCGCGAGGTTGAAAAAGGATGTAGCACGGTGCACAAAGCATTTCGCATTCATGCGGGATCGGGGGAAGGCCGTACCCCAAAGGATATGATGTAGACAATCTACCCCAATGCAAGTATTAGTGGCTGCTTGTACGGCTCAAACCCGTAAACTATAGATCACATAGGAATAATTTTACTGTTGCTCTAAGGCTCGCCTTCGACCGCGATATAATGGAAGGGCAAGGATAATTTAAGATAATATAATTTAACGATTTAAGCTTTATATGCACTGATAATTTAATGAATTTTACACCATTAATGTAATATACATAATATATCAGGTTACGTACCATTTATTGTAGCTTATCAATAAATACTAATTTAATAGAGTTGCATGTAATTATCTAGTTATATAAATATATTTTTTAGCCGTTAATACATCCAAGTTAAACTCTCTTTTTAAAGTTCCCTTGTACTTTTTCCATGGTTTAACTAATGCCTATAAATAGGGTCCTATCCAAATTAGTCCTCACAATAAACACAACTAACTTCTCTCCTTTCTACTACTAAGCAAAACACCAACTTTACACATAAGTTTTTGCAGCCAACTCTCAAATGGCACCAAGAAAAGACCTTTCCAAAATAGGCCAAGAAGCCTTTGCTCTTCTTGACGAACAACGCTATGGAAGAAAGGGAAGGCCTTCTATTTCTCCTTCTTCTGTTAAAACTACCAATAACAATTGGTTTAATTATTACCAAAACCAACCTCAGAAATCTCATATTGTTCAGTTCAAACCAACTTATGCAGTTCAAGAGAGAGTTATCAATAGTCACGAAGCTGTGCAGTTACATGGTGGGGTTCTTATTTGTGATTATTCCAAGAGAAAAGCAAAAGCTATGGCTTATTACTTTTCTTTGGATATGTGTATGTAGTAATTCGAGCAGAAAGTGACACGCTCAATTGTATTGCAGAACCCGCTCTAGATCTGTCTCCTCTCGTTTTTTTTCTTTTTAAGTTTGTGAACACACCTTTTGCATATATATATATGGGGTCGATGAAGCTCCTTGTATGTTTATGATGGTCTAATGAATCCAGTTCTTTTTTTTGGTCGAACAAAAAGATTTTATTTATCACTTATCAAAATTACATCTCAGAATACAATTAGACTTCTCTCTAACTGTCTTACTATCACTTATATACAAACTTCAGCTATACCTTTTCCCAATAGAGTTTTTCTATCCAATCTTTCTCTCTGCTTGTGTGTCTTCTCCTCAATGCTTCAAGTAATTTATGCTTACAGTCTTGCTTTATCTGGCTGCATAGCTGCCCAGGTCGTATCACCTTAGGTTCCCATTAAGTTCCTTGCTCTCTATACATTATAAACTACAGCTGCTAGTATGGCCAACACAATTGTCCTGCATATTTTCCCTTTAACTTGTCTGGTCATTCTTCTGCCTAAACCTCGCAGCTCCATATTCCTGATGTATATGTTTAACCATCTCAGCGTGTCTTCTATGCACCTCCTCGCAAGTGGACATTCAAAGAACAAATGAGCAACTGTTTCTTCTGCATCTCCACATATCTCACATAAGCTGTCTTTGCTAATTCCCATATGTCTCAGCCTATCTTTCGTCAAGAGTCTGTTATGTGCTACTAACCAACAGATTAAGCTGTGTTTTGGCATGTTCATCTTATTCCATACCCACCCTCGACAAGGCCAGTTCTCCATAGCCCTTTTCTTTCAATTATAGCCACTACTTAGTGTATAAATTCCTCTAGTAGTTAGCCAGTGATTCTGTGTGTATCCATCAGCAACTTATCTCTTATAGTACAATTTTTTCTCCAGTACCAGCTGCAGTCTGTAGAAGGCTTGTACTGCCAATGAATGATCCAGTTCTTTAGGCCATAATTAGTGATATTATATACTTCACCTTTAAATACTAAATTATGCCCCTTTTTACTTAAGAAATTCCCCCCCC